ATACATTTCGATTGCAAACCCTTTATTGCTTAAATCATTTTATTTACATTCTACATACAGAAAATTACTGAACATATCTTAATCTTAGATTATTCTGTAACATATTACTGTACTATATAAACTACATCTTCCCTACTCGCAGTCTGTTACTATAATTGTAACTACTGATAATGTAAAGTAGATTTTTTTTCGTTATCTTATTCTCCATCAGCAAATGAAATATACATCGTGTGTATGTGTATGTGAGTGTGTATATGTACGTCTGCGTGTGTATGTGTTTGTGAGTGTCCTGTGTGAGTGTTTGTGTTATGATACATGTGTATGCGTGTATGTGTATATTTTTTGTGTGTGAACGTGTCTTTATGTATGCATGTGTACAACCTATGTGTAGACATGAGACCCCAAGATGCTCTGTGTACGTCGCCTCCACAGCCATAAGTCTTTCACTTAATCTCCGCTTCTACTCGTACGAGCGCGATGAACGTCGTTTACTTAGCGAGGGTAAATATCTTTTCTTGGTAGTGGGTGCCTCGTTAATGGGTCAGGTGATTTATTAAGAGGTTATTATTTCTTTTGTTTGAGTACCATTATTAATAGCAATAATAATGACATTATTACTAATATCATCATTATTGCTATTGCTGGAATTGGTGGTGATGGTGTTGAGGGTGATGATGGTGATGATGATGATGATGATGATGATGATGATGATAATGATAACAATAATGATAATAATAATAATAATAATAATGATAATCAAAATAATAATGATAATAATAATAACAATGATGATAATGATATTGATGATGATGTTGATAATAATGGTGATAATGATAATAATAATGATAATAACGATAGTGATAATAATGATAACGATAGTAATAATAACAATAATGATAATAATAATGATATCTATAACGATGGTGATGATAATAATGATAATCATCATCATCAAGGACCTAACGCCGACGGTGGCGCATGGGCGTATCACCCTTCGCTTCCAGCCACGAGAGTCCCTCATGGCGAGTCTCTAACTCCTGCGACAGGTCTGGTCGAGCTGCCTAAGTCATGACCTCCTAAGTCGTCCCACGTGCCTCCTCCACCCAGGATTGTCTCGCAGAGAGACAACCTGACAGACTGGGTCATCCATAGGGAAACGAGCTATATGCCCATATAGCCTGAGTTGATGATCCCAGATTATGCAAGTAACAGGTCCCATGCCAGTCTCACGGTGTAACCGTCGGATGGACACATGGTCCTGCCGACTGTTCCCCATGATCCGGTAAAAAGACTTGTTACAAAAGGCATCAAGACGAGACACCAAGGCACTAGATAGTGTCCAGATTTCGCTTCCATAGAACAAAACTTGCAGTATCTATGTCTTGGAGATACGTAGCTTGGTCCTTCTGCATCTCGAAATGCTCTTGTTCATGGCTCCTGAAGCCAGATCAATCTGTCTACTGACTTCTTGGTCCGACAGCCTAAAGATATGGACTGTACTACCAAGATATGCAAAGGCCTCTGTGACTTCAACATCCTCACCGCAAGCATGGATCGACTACCCCAAAGTCTCGAATCTTGGTCTTGGTCCTGGAGACCTCTAGGCTCAAGGGCTGCGCCTCATTGCTAAATGCATTAAGAGCTGCCACCAGTGATTTCAGAGACTCAGATAGGATAGCAACATCATCAGCAAAGTCAAGGTCTGAGACCTTGATATTGCCCAGGGTTTTTGGATAGTAGTTCTGCCCATCATCCAGTCTATGCAGTTGTTGAAAAGTGTTGGACAATGGCACAGCCTTGCTTCATCCCTGAATTAACAGGGAAGTTCGACAGGCCCCCACCACACTTCAAAGCACTTTCAGTACCAGTATATAGGCATGCTATTGGGTCAATAGTCAATGTCAAAATTCCCCTAAGTCTCAGAATCTCCCATATTGATTCTTGATGCACCAAGTAAAATGCCTTCTTGAGGTCGATGTAAGCTGCAAGCAACCAGCGACCGAACTCACAACGGCATTCCACAATCACTTGTAAGGAGTGAATCTAGACTGCTCCAGTGCCTTAATAGGTGGTCGCAGATCGGTTTCAGAAAAATGGGGTCGAAAACTTTACCTGGTATACTGACCAGTGTAATCCCACGGTGACTACAGTCCCAATAATCCCCTTTCCCCTTCCAGAGAGGGATGACCATCCCCCTTAACAGGTTGGGGGAATGGAACCAGACTGCCAGATGGCAGTCAAGACTGCATGCAAGCCCTGTGCATTTGGCAATTCAGCAGGGATACCACATATGCCTGCACCTTTCCCACTCTTCAGCCTAGAAATTGCCATAATAACCTCAGTTAGGGTAGGAGGTTCCTTGCTGATGGATGTGTCTGGCACAGGTATTGTGATACTACTTGCATCCAAGCTAACTGTTGGAGGGTCAACCTGGTACAGCTGCTCAAAATACTCAGCCCAACGTTCATGAACCCCAACATGATTCGAGATGATCTATCCATCCACTGAGTGGACTGCAGTCATCTGTGAGAAGGGCTTAGAGCTCAGTTTTCTCAGGAAATGGTAGGCAGGGCGAAGGTTATTTACCAAGAAATGGCCTGCAAGGTCCCTGATGAACTGTTCCTTGTTCTTTCTCAGCATCGTTCCATCCCTACACACCAAGGAGTGACGCAAGTCCTGGTTGCCATCCAGCTTAGGCATGTGACATGCTTCAATGGCCTCCAGTGTCTCCATGGAGATAAAATTCTGCCTTACCCTCGGGTGTATGCCAATGGACTCCTGTGCTGCTTTGAGTGTTTCGAACTTAAAGGATTCCCACAGAGCAACTGGGTCCGTCAGGTTTTGTTAATCGATCAGAGTGCCTTGGTGAACCCTCGGGCACACTCCTCCTTCATTCTGACCTAGTAAAACACCCTAGAGTGGCCACTAGAGGGACGAGGAGTTTTGAAGTGGACCCGTAGGGTAACCACTAACAGCCTATGGTCAGTGCCACAAATGTCGTCACTACGGTAATCCCTACAATTCTGAAGGGTTCTCCATCGAGTGCTGACAAGAATGTGGTCAATCTCCTTGGCCACAGTGCTTGTATATATCATGTCCAGTGATGCAGATTGGAGCAGTAATACCAGGAGCTAGAATTCCTCAATCTCTAGGACTTAGCAAAGATATGGAGAAGGAGGCTGGTCTCGCTGCTGGGGTCAGCTCCTTAGCTATGGAGGCCGACAAACATCTCGTAGCTAGCTTGATTACAGCCGGATAAATGCGAATGTCTCAATGGGGACAATTGTCTTATATGGATGTGAGTTTGGCATAGAACACTTCTTTCACATTGAGCTTGCAAACATCGATAAGAGCGTATACAGCAATAAGAGACACTAAGCAAAAAGCATGCTTCAGCCTCAATGCCATAATACTCTCATCAACTGGTGTTACCTCAACTACCGGAGGTTGAAGTCGGCTGGAGATGGCTGTGGCTACTATGATGATGATGATAATAATAATGATGATAATGATAATATTGATGATTTTGATAACAATAATAATAATAACAATAAATTATGGAGTCGGAAATCTCTGCTTGGACAATAGACGTTTCGAAGCCAAAAAACTGATGTAGACCAAGAAGCGACCAATCAATGGGCAAGGAGCTCTGGACTGAAGGTAGAGAATGAAGACTTCATATTATCTGCTCATTATCAAAGGATATTTACACGAAATTACCAAGCAAATGTCCATAAATATGGTGTTGATGCTAAATGTATGTTCTGTGACAAATTCACCGAGACAGTTGATCACCGTATTTCAGGTCGCTCAGTTTTAATATGAAATAAGTACAGAAATTGTCACAACAAAATGGGTCAATATTTCCAATGGAGAATATGCCATTACTACAAAATCCAAACTCCCACCAACTGGTATGAACATCACCCCAACCAATAGTATTAGATGAGAACATTACCATTCTCTAGGACTTTCATATTCGAACGGACCATCCAGGCAAATCGCCCAGACATCATTATGAAAGACTTTAAGGGTAAAACTTTCCTCCCGATTGCTACGAGCGTCCCTAACTACCAGAATAAAACAATCAAAAATCAAGTAAATAGAAAGCTTGTTAAATCGACATAGAGATATGGCACCTCAAGGCAGCTACAGTCACAATCACATTCGGAGCACTCGGGATGATCGAGAAGCGTTGCAGGAGGAGACATCTTAAGAAAATACCTGGCGAAACCAATCTCCAAGAAATCCAGGAAATAGTGTTGACCAGCACTGTCCACGTTCTACGTAAAGCCTTCTCTATATGAACACTGGAAGACTGTCAAAATCCTTCACTTGCCTCAGGCGCCTGGGCTTTCCCGGCGAGTAATTGAAGCAAATACGCAGAAAGAAACAAAGATGTTAAAGATAGATAATAGTATTGATAATGATAATAGTCATAATAATTATTATTTTTTATTATCATTAATGTTATTATTATAATGATAATAACCGTTGTCCTTTTTCCTTCTCTTTATGTACTAATAATTCTTTTTCTTCTTATTTTTATTATTATTATTATCATTATCAGTATTATTAGTATCCTTATTGTTTTGTTCTTAATATCACAATCATCATTATCATAACTTTCATCAGTATCATTTTCATTGTTATCATTATCAAAATATTATTATTATTATCATTACTGTTATTAACAATATCATATAAGTACCATCATCATTTTTATCAGTATCAGTTTTATCATCAATCATGATATTTTGATTATATGTAGTACTAGCAGATTTAACAGTAGTGGTGGAATGATCAACTTCATTTCCATTAATACCATCAGTATCATCATCATCTCGTCATTATCAACACACAAGTAAGCATAACGCAAAATGTATATACAAATGGATCCGAAGCTGGATACTTGTTACCTGGAGTACTTTTTGTCTGCGTGTGATCTGTACCTGCAGATTTCAGATTCAATTCTGCGTCAGGAAATAAGACACTGGACA